TACCTAATGTTTTATCATCTCAAGCCAATTTAAATTTTTTCTTATGCTTCTAAACAATATGGAAGACTTAGTAGACTAATTAAGACAATAAATGTGGTAGATTTAACACCAATATGCTTTTAGTACATGGTCATTTAATTCGTGGCACTAATTCCTCTGCTTCAAACAACTTGAAAATAGTAGTGCCTTATTAAGGCACAATTGCAAATTAATTCTTATTCTTGTTTGAACAGCGGGCGAACAGAAACGTCTTGATTTGAATTCTTCCAGCTAATGAATACACCAATTTAACTCTCACTCTAGAAAACTAGAAATAATAGCTGTGCAAATAGTATTGTTTCATTTTCGATGTGTTTGGGTTTCAGGAGTATCAACGATTCTTAAATAAGTATAGTCACCATGAATCTCTTAGGGTGATATGTACACCAAATACCTTGGTATATTAACACACTCAATACAATATAAATGAATAAATGTTTGTCAATAACATAAGCGCAAATGCACTAGAGCCAGATGAAGCATAAATAACTACCTGAAACTAGTTGTGCTAGTAAAGTGGTTGGTGAGGGATATTCATGCGAACAAGAATGGGTATTTAAAGCAATTTAATGAATTTCAGTTAATCCCTAATGTGTATGATGGTTCTTCTTCATATCAACACTAGCTTTTCTATGTTTATATTCAGGAGCTCCGACTCCATTTTAAGAGTTACGAATTAAAGGAATTAAAATCAATTAATGCTATTCGAAAGTGCAATAAGGATGAGGCTATGCAATATAAAGATGGCTAAGAAATGTACTACCTGTAAATTTATAATTTAATAAAATGTTTACTAAAGAAAAGGAAGACGATTAACTACGGCAGAGATTTTGAGTCGAATAAATAACAAATTTCAGGAAGCTTAGATAGGGAATAACGGAACATCAATATCGTTTATTCGAAAAATTATTGAGGAATTTAAACGAGGGATTAAATATGGAGTAAACCGATATCGTGGAATAATTTGTTCTAAGGTTTATTATTATAACTTGATCAAGGCAAAATAATTACTTCTCAGTAAAATAAATAATTTCTATACTTCATAATTATACCTCCTTTGTGCTTGATTCTCAATATTATTCATATAATATCAGTGTGAATATCATTGATATATTTCTTTTATACTTAAGATTTTATACTGTAATTTATTATTCCTATCCAGATATTTATTTCTCTCATTTGACTTTATAAAATTATATTCTTATCTTACCTTATATTGTCTTAAAAAATGCAAAATTCCCTATATTTTATTGGTATTATCGCCTTTAAATATTGGTCTCAAGTTCTATGCTTTTGCCTATAGTCCGTGATTCATTTCTTTATGTTTTCTATTTTTAAAATTAATTCTTTTACTCTGTTTCATTAAGAAAAACTTTGTATTTTTCAGATTTAATCTCACTATTTTGCCATTTAAAAAACTCCTTAGAAAATGGGATTTCAATTCAAGATTTCATAAGAATGAGCCGAAAGATGACATTTGTTCTAGCCTTCATTTATTTAGGTAATTCTTCATAAGGTCAGCTAGTGCTCGGAAAGTATCTTTTATCAGTAGTGAATCCAAGTGTCAGAGAATGAGATTAAATCCTGAACATAACTAGCTATTGGATATGAAAGTAGAACGCATTCGTTACGGATGGATAAAACTGTCCGGAGAAATGGAAAGATCTTAAAAAGAAGCTACTACAAGAAAGCCATTCCAGTGAAAGCATGAATAAGCATGTGCATTTCAGAATAAGTGACAATAGTTTTAATGCACATTCCGTACAAAGGGCCCTCATTCATGACTTAGGCCAAGGCTAAAACCGACAGAAGATAAACAAAATATGAAATTATTAGCTAGAAGATTTAAGCTGAATCAAGCTAGTAAATTCTGCACAAATGTCTGAATGAATGTAGGCACATGAATGCCTATATGTAATGGAAAATTATGTACTTGGCTAAGGCGGACCCTAAATCATGACTTCATTATCGTCAGATGAATTAATGCGAGTTTTGAAATAATATTATTGCAGCAAAGGGTAGCCAAGCGTTTCCTTTTGTAAAGTTATTTATGCTTCTTAAATGTTAGCATTTTTTAAGAAAAATAAATCAAAATAAACTACAAACGAATAGTATTCAAATATTGGTCAAAGTTTCATGCAAGATTTAGTTAATTGCCATGTGTGAGAAAGTGCTACCAACCTGAGATTTTTCAATAGAAGCAGTTGTTCTATCGCACATGGGACTGATGTCCAACCCGGCAGCACGCTCCTGATCACCTTGCAAGAAAAATTCTTCCATAATACGATCTGTCCATTGCCGATAAAGATGCAGAGGCTTCGCTGGATTGCTGAGGTCGGCACAGTGCACCATGTTTTGTAGAATCTAGTTGGTGCGTGTATGTTTTGAATATTTTCAAAAGAGATAAAAGAAAAAAAGTAAAACAATAAATAAAGAAAATTGTGTGTCGCTTAGTTGTGGCAACAACAGAATACCGTTATGTCGTATGGGCTTTCCTTTTGAAGCTAGAGTTGATGATAATTGGAATATGGTAGTAAACGGTTTAATATAAAATTTTCCCAAAAAGTGCATAGCATAGAACTCTTTAATTACATTCTTGAATAAGAAAATAGTAATATGAGATGTATTCACCCAATTTCGTTTAAGGTGATGAAGGACTGGTAGTAGAAATTTCCCACAATAATATGAGTAGAGCTGACGTTTCCATTATTACTTATTTACTGGTAGTCTCGAAACTCTATTTAAATACGAAAAATTATTAACGTAGTCGATTGTTTGCTTGATCCACAATCCCACCAAAGAATATGATATGGCAAAAGGCATGGCCTTCCTCAAAATTCACATCTGCCCTATGACCCAACAGCACTCGTGGCAATCTGGTCGAGTGGTTGACGTGTCAAGCTTACATTCTGCACTA